AATCCTATTGCCCAAATCATGCCTTGTTCAAGGAAACAACCTTGATCCCTTGTTCAAATTACATATCATATAACTAAGAAAAGAATAAGGAGAAAGTGCATCAGTATTAATGCTAGCTTTAATGTTATTGAGACTGTGTAATTGGTATTTTGCTCCATTTGTTTTCTTCCTTTGAAGAAATCTTTGGAGGGTCTGCTGGAGCTTCGATGTTTAAAGCTTGGAGGAGACCTTGCCTGCTCTCTAGATCTTGTAGCTACATAGGACTTCTCTTGGTGATTAAGGATGATACTACTTGTAGCAGACCAGACGAGGAAGTACTTCACCCAAAGAGTGATTAACACGTGGAATTCACTACCACAGGAGGTGGTGGCAGCTACAAGCATGGACGGCTTCAAGAGGGAATTAGATAAACATATGGAGCAAAGATCTATCAGTGGATATTAGCCACAAGCTATAGATAGGAACTCTCAGTCTGGGGCAAGTGATGCACTGTATTCTTGGTGCTTGGGGGGGGCACAGTGGGAGGGCTTCTAGTGTCCTGGCCCCACTGCTGGACCTCCTGATGGCACCTGGTATTTTTGGCCACTGTGTGAGTGTTGGACTGGATGGGCCATTGGCCTGATCCAACAATGGCTTCTCTTATGTTGTTATCTGTAATGAATGCATGCATTAGCAAGCCTAGTTGTGATGGGTTTAAGGCTTCTCTGTTTATTTAATGCTTCCAATGATAGATCTGGGAAGAGGAGAACTTTTTGAGGGGTTGGAGGCTGTGGCGGGTGGCCTGAAACAGAGCCCGCTGGCATCTCCCAGTCTGTATCTGGCATCCCCCGCCAGTGGCCGGGAGGTACCTGGCAACCCTAGTATGAGCTTCTTTAACATACATGTATGTGAAGTTACTGCCCACCCTCTCTCTATATTTCATTGTATCTAAAGAAGAGTGTTTGTGCACAAAAAAGCTCATCTGTTGATCTTAAAGGTGCCACTGGACTCAAGCCAGGATTTAGTTTGCTGAAAAGTATTTGTTGTACATAGTGTTTCAGATTTTGTTGCAAAGTTTGTTGCAGCCTAGTGTGCTAAAAAACTGGGGCCGGCCCTGAGAGGAGGCCAGGGGGTGGGGACATGTAGCAAGCCCCTACAGATTTTACCCCTGAGCACTCTGTAACGCTAATTCAGATTCATCCCAGCTGCATGTATGCAGGACCAGCCCTAGATCCAGTGGTGCCCCAGGCAAGTCCTTCCCCTTCCAATAGTTCCAACTTTTGAACACCTTTTTAAAAATTGTGTGTGTGTTACCCTCACAACAACCCTGTGGGGTAGGTTAGGTAGAGAAGGGGAGATTTGGCCCGGGGTCACTCAGCCAGCAGAGTGAGAATACAAACCTGGGTCTCCCCACATCAATCTGCAACTCTGACCACTGTGCAGTGCTGCCTCTACTGATCTGTAATGTTCCAGAGGTGTTGTAATGTAATACTCAGTTTCTCAAATGAGTGTATGCCTGTCTGTTGGTCCACTTAGGAGTCTTGATCCTGGTTGTGTGGTGGGCTAGTTGTGGCAAATGGTAGGGAAGCTCAGTATTTCTGTATAAAGTTGTAGGGGCTTTATTGCAATGTGGTATGGCCTGATATTATGTTCTTATTCCAGTGTGGGGTGTGTGGGGGGCTTTCTAAGTTTCTAAGCAGTGTTCTAAGAAGGCAACTGTTCCTGGGGTTAGCCCAGCCCAGGGACATTGCTAGGGCGGTTCCCAGGCCTCCCTAAATTTCTGGGGAGCCCATCCCTAAATCCCACATGGGTCCACCTCCATAGATAGTAACCATGCCTGTGATATCACTAGCTCCTCCCTATGATGTCATCAGGGCCGGCCCCAGCTTATTTTGCACCCTAGGCGAGGATCCCTTCTGGCGCCCCCCCCCCCACCAATTTTCAAAAATAAATGCATTTTAGGAAGAATGAAAAACACAAATAATCAAGAAACTCCCAGAGTACGGGGCGGGTGCAGCTTGGCGCCCCTAAGGGCTGGCCCGCTCTAGGCGATCGCCCTGGATGTCATTGGGTCCCAGTTCTTTTAATGACTTAGCAATGCCTCTGGCCCGGCCCCAGCCCCAGCCCCCCCTGGGAAATTGGAAAGTCTACGCCCTTGATCTTGTGGATTTGTTGAAGAGTCTTTTGCTATCTACGAACACCATTTAATTCATGGTACAACAAATCAAATCTTACCTGAGCTGCTCTAAGAAGAAAGTAAAAATTACTGAAGTGTTGGTGGGCAATTTGAATAAACGTTGTTTGCACACGATCTAAAAAGATGGGGAGAAATCATTCAGGAGGTAACTCAATGGTAGCACCATTAAGAAACAACTGTAATTTCTAGCTTGCAATTGGGAGCTCCACATTTGGCCAAAACCTCCACTCCCCTTTGATCATACACCCATATAGGATTCACTGGAGAGTTGTGCAACATGGGGGAGGAGCAAGTCCTCCTAACATAGTCATCTATATCCTCCATCTCATCCCTTACTGTCTTCTCTGCTGGGTCTAAGTAGAAGGCATGTAAAGAAAACAAGGTGGGGGTGGGGAAAGCACAACAAACATTTTAACAAGACTTTACATCCTAGGAAGTGGTGCTTAGGATTGTTAGTAACAGGTAGGGTGTGTTATCTTACAGACCAAACTTTGAAAGGTGTTTTGTGCATGTATCTATATGCATGTGTATGTATCTATATGTGTATTTTACTGTCAACTGATCTTGTTCAGTTATATAAACAATCAATAAATCAATAGTCCAAATCTATAGAAATGCTGTAAATTCAAAAAAAATCCTTCAATAGTCAGGATCTAAGCTCAATAGCTACTTTAGAATAAAAAAGGGCCTTTCCTTCAGTAATAAAGACATCCCCCGCAAGGAACAGGGTGATCAAATTTTCTGTCCAGTGGCTTCATGAAATAGCCAAGGTAATTTCTGCTCTACCTTCATCATCACAGTTACAAGACAAGAGCATGTGAGTTACAGGCACTCATGGCTCAGTATGACAGGGATAAAATCCATCTTTTTAGGAGACTGCTTACAAGAGACCTCAAGGACTGCTGGCAATAGAACACTGCTCTGTGCTAAGGGAAAAACTCTCCTGTATTTAGGCACATAGTTTCACACCATTCCTAAAGTAAAGAAGAACAAAACGTGCATGGCATAGCATATATATTCAAATAATTCCTTTCACAAATTCCTTCTTTGACTATTAACTGAACCTTTCCCAACTTGTAAGATGCCAGAACATGCAAATGAATTGTAAGTCCTTAAAAACTTGTAGAAAGTGTATAAAGTGTATAAATGTTTCTGAAATACAGCTTTTCATACGGAAAACATCCTGCAAACAGCATAAAATAATATTTTTCACTAACACTTACTTTTGCACACCTTACCTTTGCAAATAAAATGCAACATCTACACTGACTAGAGTACATACTTAAAGTTTGCTTTTTCTTCCTGTTCCTCTAGAAAGCCAAAATTCAGAAATGATATATTCTGGACTAAATTATACTCTTAGAGTTACTCAAGAAAACTCCTTATATAAACCAGGTATTAGGAACAGCACTCATATGTAAGCTGTAAAGCTTACCTACTGCTTTCTTCAGCATCTCAATAGCTGGTGATTTTAGCTGAATAATTTGCTGTCTTACGATGGCCTCAAAGGTTCGGTAATTGATAAACCCAGGGAGTTCTTTTCCACGATATTTATTTTCAAAGCCCCACACTTCTTCTTTCACAATCTCTTTGACTGCAGCATTAAAACAATTTTATCAGTTATTCCGTTTCTAATCACATAACCCCAATCCAGGTAAAGTTAGTCATGAGTCATCACTGCTGTCCCAATGAAACCCACTTCACACAAATCATACAATCCAGATGGGGCCTCATGGCTAGAGAATACACAACTTGAGACTTTGGTGAAGAGGTTTTGGTGAAAGAACACTTTGCATCGAATGTGAGTGCTTTATGCAAACCAACAGTGGGTAGGGCCAACAACCCCGTAGGAAAGACGTATTGCTGAAAGAATCCTTATGGACCCCGTATACTAGATCCAAACATGCAACAGAAACCTCAACTGTAATCCTGCAACTGAGGACTCACGGGCTGCGATCACACACACTAAATCTACTTACAATCCATTTTCAATGCAATTTCCAACTGAATTTTGCCAGTTCACACAGTAAAATCCAATAGGAAAGTACACTGCAAGTGGATTGAAAGTGGATTATTTAGTGTGTGTGACGCCAGCCAAGGACAAAGCACTTTACACTGGTAAGCAAGCAGTGGATACCTGCAAAGGAGATGGAGACTGTTCCTCAACCCAGGAGTCATCTGCATCCCTCCTTTCTACTGGTCTACCATCTACTGTCCTGTAACTCCCTTGCAAACAATCTCTGTTCACTCAAAAGATGACATAGGATAAATATGCATTATTGCCAAACCTCCAAACATAGGCAAGCTCCTGCCACACACTGGCCAAAGGAGCTTGGCCATCTTTGCTGGTAAACATCAGACACCCTGCCTATTAGTGTCATTGGCAAATCACTGAACATACTTTCTTCCTTGTAGCATCAGAGGCAGGGTAAAGAATAATTCACACAGAAATTCAGAATAGACATCCAGTACAAGGGATGGGTAAATGTTCTCCTAACTCCATCATTACAATTCTGGTGCTCTAACCTCATGTAATGGGTGTGCATCCCACAATCCTTCCGATATGCAAGGCTGCAATTTTGTATGCATAGGGCAACTTGCGTATTTCCCATCTTTTGTGTGTGTGAACAAGACATTGGACTTACCTGAAGGTTTCTTCTCTTCAGTGGGGCGAAGTGATCCAAACTGGTTTGGCCACAGCTCCTCTTGTTCCAGGCAAGGCTATGCAAATTTTCTGTATCACTCTCCTGGACAGAATGAGGCTGACTCTCCAGTCATTGTATAGCCTAGCTCCATAAAGTATCCAGATTCTCCTTGTTTCTTTCTTTCTTTTCTGTGGTGGGAAGTGGATGACTTCACCCCACTGAAGTAAAGAAATCTTCAGGTAAGCCCAATGTCTCGTTCTCCTTCAGTGGGGGAAGTCATCCAAACTGGTTCTACATCCAAGCTAGATGGAAAAAGGGGTAGCATTTTTAAAAATATTATTATTATTATTCCACTACTTGTAAGACTTTTCTCCTGAAGGAAGCCTCAATAGAATTTAATTGATCTATTCTGTAGTGTCTCACGAAAGTAGAAAATGTAGCTGCTCTGCAAATTTCTTCCACCGGCGTTTTGGTTGAAAAAGCCACTGATGTTGCAGCTGACCTGGTGGAATGTGCTGTGATGTTCTTAGATGTTCTTAATCCCTGTATCTCATAAACTTTAACAGTACAAAACTTAATCCAATGAGCAATGGTTGACTTGGTCCCCAGTGCAGCCATGTTGTGAGACACAAACAGGGAATCTGTGCACCTAAATTGAGCTGTTCTGCTTAAATAAACATGCAGGGCCCTGCGTACATTCAGTCTGTTCCAGCTGTTTTCTCTTGGATGAGAGGGATTTGGGCAGAATGAAGGCAACACTGTTGATTAATATGGTAAGACTAATTAATTTTTGATAGAAAGGAGGGATCCATCCTTAGAATCACTGAGTCCTTATTAAAGGTAAAGGTTTCCCTTGCTCGAAAGCCAGTCAAATCCAACTCTAGGGGGCGGTGCTCATCTCCATTTCCAAGCTGAAGAGCTAGCACAGTCCGAAGACTTCTCCATGGTCATGTGGCCAGCATGACTAAACATCGAGATCTCATCTGATTGACAGAGCTCCTATTTCCTACTAGCAGAGGTGACAGCAACTAAAAAAGCCACTGTCACGGGCTAGGGTGCCAGTCAAAGGGAGTCCAGAACAGGCCAAGGTGAGGAGCCAAGAAGACAGTGCAAAATCCAAAGCCAAGCTGGGGTCAGGAGCCAGAAATACAGAGCCACGTCCAAAATCACTAACCAGAAGTGTAGTCCAAAACCAAGCTGGAGTCAGGAACACAGAACCAAGTCCAAAGCCAGGAGGTCCAAAGGTCTAGGTGCAAGAACTGAGCCGAAGTGGATGCAAGCAGCACAAAGCTGACTTGTTACTTCCATGAAGAGTACTGCCCAGAGTGTGGAGTTAAATGCTGTTACCAATTAGCCAGCTGCATGATCGCCCAGGCTCCTGTTAGAACTCTGGGCTAGCTGAGCATCTCCCTTGTAGCCTGACCTCTCTTTGCCTGTTTGCTAAGTTTTGCCGCAGTCGCTCCCTTAAATGAGTCACACGTGGGGGTGAGTCAGGAAGACTTTCAGATTGCAGTTCTTCCTTCTTATTTGAGCCAGGTGTGAAGACTGCTGTTATAGGCACTTGCCAGCTATCCTCCTCTGCTGCTTCAGAGAGGCCAGCTGTGGTTTCTGCAGGCTCTGTCAACTCATCCTCATCCATGCCCATGACAGCCACCTTCCATGAAAGATATTTTAACTCCATAGATTTTAGGAGTTCAGAAGGCATTTTGGTCAATGCCTGTGCATCATGAGCTCTGATGAGGATGTTGTCCAGCTATGGGTAAATGAGGAAGGTTATTAATGTTCCTAGAATCTTGGTGAACACTCTCAATGAGGATGAGAGGCCAAAGGATAAGGCTATGTATTGGAAATGTTGGTCCTGAAAAGAAGTACTTCTTCACCCAAAGAGTGATTAACACTTGGAATTCACTGCCACAGGAAGTGGTGGCGGCTACAAGCATGGATGGCTTCAAAAGAGAATTAGATAAGCATATGGAGCAGAGGTCCATCAGTGGCTATTAGCCATAAGGTATAGATAGGGACTCTGGGGCAAGTGATGCTCTGTCTTCTTGGTGCTTGGGGGGGGCAACAGTGGGAGGGCTTCTAATGTCCTGGCCCCACTGGTGGACCTCCTGATGGCACTGGTATTTCTGGCCACTGTGTGATACAGTGTGTTGGACTGGATGGGCCTTTGGCCTGATCCAACATTGGCATCTCTTATGTTCTTATGTTAAAACCACAGGAACTGCCTGTGAGAGGGCTAGATGGGAATGTACAGATAAGCTTTTCTAAGATCCAAAGATGCTTTTAAAAAAATCCTTCTGCTGCATTATTTGCAAAATAGAATGAAATGATTCCATCCGGAACTTGAATTTTTTCACCCAGGGGTTCAGGTTTCTAAGACCAATTCCGCAAAAGCAGTTGTTCCGCCCTTGGTCTCCTGTTTCCCCTGGCTGTACTGCTCAATTTTACACTATTTGCTCTGTGGCCACATTTTGACCCACATCTCCTCTCGATTTTCCCTGCATCTTCTTGATCCTAAAAAATAATGGGGAAATTGGGGAGGGGGATGTGGGTCAAAATGTGGCCATGCATCAAATAGTGCAAAATTGAGCAGTAAAACCAGGGGAAATTGGAGACCGAGGGCGGAACAACTGCTTTTGCGGAATCGGTCTCAGACTGAAAACTCCAATCCCCTGATCTTTCTGGAACTAAACACAACAGTAAACTCCCTGAAAACGTTGGTTCAAAGGAACTGGTTCTACTGCCCCAATATCTAGCGGTTGTTAAATTGCCTCTAACAGAAGGTGATGTTTCTGTTCTACTTTGGGAACTGGAGAAGGGATAAAATGATGTGGGGGAATGGAGGAAAATTCTGTCCTGTAGCTGTGTTCAATTATTGAAAGGACCCACTGATTGGTTGTTGAGCTTTTCCAGATGTGGACGAAGCACTGGAGCTAATCCCTTATCATGTAGTTAGGCAATAATTCTCTTGCCGGATGCATTCCTGTCTTGTTTGTTTGCAGGAAACTGTCCTTTCTGGAACCTGGGATGGTAACTAAAAGCTCGGTGACTCCTGAAGTCTTTACCTTCTTGGTTTCTTGTAGATGGTTTGTAGCTGTGAAAGGAATAAAAGGTTTTCCCTTTGGAATCTTTTTCCCTTTAGGAAAAAGTGGATGGCATTGCCTTTTTCTTTAGTTTCAACTAGCAGCTTGTCTAGTGCTCCTTCTGCGAATAGAATTCTGCCTGGAAATTTTTTGGCTGACCAATTGGATTTTGAAAGTCGATCTACCTTCCAGAGATTTCATTCACAGCCTGAGCTCTGGCACAAAATTGCATAGCATCCTGGGATGCATCTGCTGCAAACTCTCCTGCTCTCTTAATCTTCAGGAAAGACCACTAAAGCATCAGGGGGTCTATCTCTAGATCTTGAAGGAGATTGTCTGCTCAAATCGTAATAGCTCTAGTGAAGTTTGAAAGTATGGCAGAAGCTGTAATTGCCAGAGAAGATGCTTGATGTGACTTTTGAAGGACTCTCATTCTTCCCATCTATCGAATTTTTCAAAGCATTATCCCATCCTTATAAGGGCCAGCTCCTGAATGAAGGGCAACCACAGGGACATCAACTAAAGGCACCCAGATATCTTCCATGGTGCCTCCCAGGAGAGCATAGAACCTTTTTGCTATGCCTGTTAAATACCTGACCTTTCCTGGAACTGCCCATTGTGCTCTTAAAACTTCCTCAAAAAATCTAAGGGCAAACTGAGGACCCCTTGGATGGTCTTGTAAATGCCCTGCCATCTAGCTTAGCGGATGTCAATGGCTTGGGTTTCTCTGGTGTATCTATTTGACAATTTAGAGTAGATATCACTTTTTAGGAGCCTCTGGAAATGCTCAGGTTGGAAAAGTCTAGAAGTCTTGAGAGTCATAATCTTCCCCTGACCACTCCTTCCTCTTTATCAGAGCCTGCTGCCAAGGAGCCCTTGGGTGAAGGGAGCTCTTCCACCTCTGACTCTGAGACAACTCTGTTTCGAGCTTGGTGACTTAGCCTGTGTTTGGATTTACTCAATCACCTCCCAGACCCACCATTAATTAATGAAGATCTGTCCACCTCATCTAACAATACCATATGGCAGATGCTTGTGTGTCTTTTGCCCCTAGACATCCTAGCATGTTTTTGCAGAAGTGGCGCTGTAGACTTCTCTGAAGACGACAATGTGGGTGGTGAAGGGGAAGGTGAACTTTTCTCTTATGACCTCCATGATGTTTAGGCCCTTGGCTGGTATTCTTTCCCTGTGAACATACCACCATAGTATTGGAAGGAGGGACCATCCCTGGTAACTGGACCCAAGGAATTCCCATTGGGTATTACAAACATCTGATTTGGAGGAGCCAGGTCCGATTTAAGGGTCTGAACTGACCAGTCAGATGAGGATTGGTTGAAAAAGCTGGGAAAAGTCACCATATAGCGATTCCCTGAACTATTGAGCATGCTAGAAAGGGCCTCCACAAAGGTCTGCATGGGGGGAAGTTGTCCTGCCATATTTTCTCCTTACTTTGGATTTGTCCCATGGTTCTCCTGGCCTTGCTGATCAAACAAGGGGGTAGCTCACCTTTCACATTATTGCTCTCATTCTCTGTGAACCCAAAAGCTTTTGGGTCTCAGCAGGATTTTTTAAGTGAAGACCCCTAGGCCCACCGGGCACAGCCCCCCCCCCCCCCCCCGTGCACGATATCCTGCACAGATGGGAGGGAGTCTAAGGAGAGATCCAAAGATTCAGATTGTCCAGCCTTTGCTGCACCATGATAAGCATGCCTCTAGGCTGCCCAACTCCATTGCATGAAGCTTCAGGCAGGAGAGGCTTCATTAAGTGCTTTTTCTTTTTAGATGTGGATCCCTTCTTCTCTGTTTTGTCTTCCTCCTTACTGATTTTTCCCAATAGGTAAGTATTTTTACTCACAAGGAGCAGAGCTAGTCTCGAGCGTCCTGTCAGAGCAGCAAGGCTATTGAAACTGGAGGGTCAGCCCTGTTCTGGTCCAGGAGTCAAATAGAAAATTTGCATAGCCCTGCCTGGAGCAAGAGAAGGCATGACCTCACCAGTCTGAATGACTTCCCCCGCTGAAGAAGAACGAGTACCCTCAAAAACCTGGGTTTTTGATTTATTATCTATGTATTCATGGCTGCCTTTTTCACTGAGGCTCAGGGCACATTGCAAAGGAAAACACAATGCAATCAGTCAGCACAAGACATCCAACAGATAATGCAACAGCACTAAGATTATAAAATTAGAAGACAATGTGCAGGTATAATGGAATTACACAGGGGGACAGTAAGATGAGACTTAGAATAATCAATGCAGCAGACTTATGGCAGTGGATTTCCATTCCATTCCATTTTAAAGATGCCTTCCTCAACTGCTCTATTTCACTACTGTTCTAATCCCTTGATAAAAATGCACACACACCCGTGAGAATTTGTTTTGTACATTCAGCAGAATGACCAAAGGTAGGAGCCTTCCTGCCCTCCTTAAGGAGGTTTTAAAACAAGGGTGATGATCTGTGTTGATGACACTGCCATGCTGCCGTTAAGGAACATTCAAAAGTAATCTCCAGCAAATGTTTTCCTTGCAATTTATATCTCAAGTATCTCCAGGAGAGGACTCCTTGAATCTAGCCAGAAATGCTATCCTTCCACACTCACTGAAAATGGCATATAAGGATATTATGAATGAAGGTACTCACAAGTCCTGCTCCCTCTTGGTTCCAGGAGCTCAAAAAAGCCCGGCAGCCATCCCAGTCCTCTGCTCAGCAATACCACCCTACTCCTTCAACACCTTACAATTCCCCTAGTCCTGGCAGGCACCAACCTTCTCACTGAGTAGTAGCAGCTGCCACCAAGAACATGGAAAATATCTCCTGCAAGGCAGATTTGCCCACCTAGCACTCTGTATCTGCGCTGCTGATTACAGCTCCTCCGAGTTGCTGCTGCTGCATCTCTTGCTTCGCACATACTTACTAGTACAGGTATGATCTATCGAACCTTTGCAATTTTGAGCCCTCGTGCTCAAGGGATGGTGAGCTCATCCACTCTTCCTCCCCTGTACTCCTTAAAGCATTCAAAATATTTCTGATGCTTCAAGGTTAAGACTACTTTTGAGCAGCTGAACAGCCTCTGCAAAAACTGCATTATAGATGTGGTAAGCTTTTGTTTTACTGTGTTTTTAAACACCTAGACTTCTCTTATGGTGCATGGCCAATGGGCTATTAAACCTAAATAAACTGGAACTTGATTCAAAATATAAGAATGTTTTAAAAAACAAAAGAGCACACACAGTCTGTTCAAGCATCAGCCTGAGCATGGACACAAACAGAAGGTGAAAGCACACCACCTTGTAAACCCCATCTGCATATTTATGCCCATGAATTGCCACGTGCCTGTGAGATGACCTATGCCCCTTTCCTTGGATTGTGCAACCAACCAAGTTCAAATGGGTAAGTATAAAAGCACATTTGGGATGCAGCTCATCCTGGTTACATGAAGGCTCAGGTGGAAAGCAGGCACTGATCTGCAGAGCAAATTAAAATGACTTGAAAATGGGTTTACCATCAAGTGCACTGCGATTAATCGTCGAATCCCACTCATTAAACAGTTGCCGTACTTTTGTGAACAATCTTGGGGTTATATTATTTGTCAAAACTTCTTCTCCGTCCACTGCATTTGAAATGCTGTCGTTAAATTGCCTGATTTTCTGCAGAAACAAAATTATATATATTTTTAAAGAAAATGTCTGCCTTGCACCCCTTAAAAATGCTAAATATAAATAATTATGCAGAAAAAAATACATTTACAACCAAGTATAATTGTAACCTTACATACCCTGTTTCCCCGAAAGTAAGACATCCCCCGAAAATAAGACCTACTTACAGTTTTGCCTCTCGCTGAAATATAAGGCATCCCCCGAACATAAGGCCTCCCCGATAATAAGGCCCCCTGAAGCTACTGTAACTCTGGAGTCTGGGCCGTAGCGCCGGGCACCGACGCGCAGCTCACTGTTGGCCGCAGAGCAGCCGGAGCAGACAGGAAGTGCACGGTCTCTTTTAATCAGAGAGCCCGCGCCGCCGCCAGGACAAGCTGCCACCTGTTGCTCGCTCTGCCCTGACGGAGTGTACCGTATTCTTCTTCATGGAAAAATAAGACATCCCCTGAAAATAAGACCTAGCGCATCTTTGGGAGCAAAAATTAATATAAGACACTGTCTTATTTTCGGGAAAACAGGGTATGTACCAGCACATGCACAGGCTCTTCCACACTGTTCCTCCACTTGTGTGTCAGAACTGAAGTATATTCTTTTGTATAGTGCACTCGTCAGATGTTTGACTGAATGCAGGAACATGAGTAGTAGGGGAGAAGACACAACCTCACTTCTCCCTATATGGACACTTGAACACCTGCTGGTTTGGCGTGCATCCTTTTTGTGGGTTGTGAATAAGACCCAATTTTTCGATGAAAAGTTCTACAGTTCATCCGTCTGTTCATTGGTATTCAGCAGGTTGCTTCACAGTATTACTTCATCATGTTCCTTTCTAATCATGCAGTACAGCAGCACACTTGGCTTGTCACACATGTGCATCCTCACTGAGCTTGATCAAGTTCTACAACCCTTGCTGTCTAATTGCTCCACTCAGCAGGCAATTGTTTAAATAGACAATTAGATCATTCACAAATTACATAAATCAGTGATTCAGTATAATCCTAGCCTTTGGTTTCTGCCTAAGTAATCCTGAGTGATGCTAATGGCATCTTTGCGCATGCACAGTTTTGCAAAAAGTCAGTGCAAACTAGATCAGCAGACATTCACAGCAGTTCAGCATGAACCAGACAGATTAGGTGATTGATTCACCTATGGCTGACACCTTAAAAAACGCTGGGGAATTTCAGACAGGTGCTTTCTCCCGGTAGGGAACCGATTCTCAACCGGGTGCTGGTCTGTCATTTCAGAAAGAACCCGGTTGAGAATCGGTTCCCTACCGGGATCTGACTGCCATTTCACACTCAAAAGTCTCTGTTCCGTATAGGAACCGGGAGGGAAGCGATTTACCTGTCAACCGCTTCCGAGGAGTCTCCCGTTCCCTCTCCCGGTTCCGATACGGTTCTTTCCCGCCTTTTTTCGGCCGCGCGGGTTTTTTTTTTTGAACGTTCAGCTTATATTGATATATCGATATAACGCTATAGCGATCCCATTGGAATACATTGGAATACTGGTATATCGATATATCGCTATAAGACAGACTTTAAAAAAAAAAAAAACCAGTGGGGAAACAAAGCGGTGTGTGTGTGAAATGCCGAACCGCTTGTGAATCGGCTCCTTTCCGGTAGGGGCAAGCCATGTGTGAAACGGCAGCCCTGTGCCGGTTCATCTGGAAACAGAAGACTCCCGGCTTGAAACCGGGAGAAGACAGGTAATGTGAAATTCCCCAGCAAGATCAACTGTCAAACATGTTTGTGCTGAACCTTACAGCCTGCTGACCTGTATGTGCTTAGATTGTTCACACTGTTGAACATCTGCATGGTCCTCATGCTCAACTTACTCCTGACTTTCTTGGCAGTCAATTCACAAGCATTGTAATTGGTTGGGGCATAGTTCTTCCACACATTTGCCTTCCCTCTGCATTTTCTCAGTTGTGGGGTCAGTTTATTTTTTCTACATGTGCCTAAAATAATCAAGACTGTCAAGGGAGGGTGCTGTCTTCATCAGAGATGACACAGAAATCCCCCCCCCTATTTTTTGTGTATGCTTATATAGATATATCAACATAATGGCTGCATTTTAAAAAATGGCATTAGAACATCAATATATCAATACACTATTGTCATGCTAGGTGCAGCAGGTTCTCTGAATTCCCAGCTTTCATTTACAAAGTAAATTTCTATTCCCTTCCCTTGTGGAAATATGCCTTTGCCCTTATTTTTTCACAAGGGACAGGGCTAGATGCTTTTTTAAAAAAAGGTGAAAGTTGAGAATTCAAAGAACCTGCTGAACCTATTACAACAGTATACTGGTACTTTAGTGCCACTTAAAAAACACACTCATTTTCAGGGGGAGGAGAAAGAGTAGTCTGATGACAATCACAGTCCAGTCATCAAAAAGTGGGATGGAGGTGAATGAAAGTGGGCAGGACAAATACACTCAGAATTGGTGTCTAGAAAAAGATAAAAGTGGGGGGAATAACAAACAGACAAAAATAGACACAAAAATTAAAGGCACAAAAATATGTGTGTGGAAATCAGGAGATAAACCAAAGCAGTATGGGGCCAGAACTGATGAAAAACTCTATGCAAAAAACGCCTCTTGTTTTGTATGCAGAAAATGCAATATCCCCACAACAACAGTAGGAGCAGAGAATATATGGTCTAAGGATAAGAAATACTGAAAGAAAGTCAAGCATTCTGAAACAGAACAAAAACCAAAACAAACCTTCAAAAGTCCATATTTATTAATTGTCTACCCCATACAGGTGCTTACTTGTATAAGGAAAAGCATCTGCTCTTCTATAGTCCCAGGCACACCTGGGCCACATGCCTGAAGCTGGATATTGGCTTTCTCAAGTTTGCTCTTTATTTAATCTTGTAACTTGGGGAGGGATTTCTGTGGGGGGAAAAGTCATCACAATCTTAATCTCATGGAACAGATTAATACTTCAATACCTCTTACTAAACTGGATAGCAGAATAATTTTTGTAGCCTAAATTGTGAAATTGGCTGTGACTTCAGGTCTTGATCAATCAGCTGTCTTGTCTAAACAAAGCAATTAAACTACTTAACATGAGAAAGAGAAGGCAACAACTTTCTTTAAAGTTAGCAAACCAGTAGGGTTTTTTTGACAGGCATTCATGGATATGATTTATTTTGTGAATGTGTTATACTATATTATAATATATTAATATAGAGATGGAGGGACCCTCAAGTACTTGCGGGGAGCATCTCACTTTCACTGTATTTTCCTCCCTCACTATTTCCTCTTTTCCTTCCCTGAAAGACCTCACAGCCTCTCCTCCGTTCCTGCCCCCTTCTCTCCTTTCTACCTACCACCCAACCTACCTTTATCTGCCTCCTAGTTTTCAGCTTTCCCTCCTTCCCTCCCCCTGGGAAAGTCTGGCCAAGTTGTGTGGTGGCCACCAGTGCAGGGCCAGTCCCAATGGTGTGGTGGCCAGCGGTGCTATGCCAGGTCCAGTGGCATTGGGCCTATGTCCTTCCCACCCACCAGCCAGCCCAACTTAATCTACCCATGGGTCTTCAACTTGCACTCCTTCCCTGCCCAATAGCCTCTCCCTGGGAAAAGACTGGCCAGGCTGCATAGTGGCCTGGGCTGGACTACATGGTGGTTGGGCCCAACTGCACAGTGGCCGGCAGGTCCTGGCTGAGTTGCTGTCGAGCTCAGGTATTTCTCTGGGTTTGAGGCCTAGTCTTTTGTTGCTTAGCTTTTGTTTCTCTGTGCCAGCCATACTTTACCTTCACTTGTCATATTACATTGGGGGGGGGGGATCTGTTGTGTGAGTGCCTGGGAGTAGCTGCTGTAATCTTCCTCAAACTGTGCCCCAAGTGTTCCTTCTCACAAGAAGCAACCTTGAAGAAGTCTGGTGCTTTGCCTAGGTCAGATAGGGCAGCATATATCTGTCCAGGTTGCCATGGTAATGCTAAGGGGTAGATGACATGAGTGCATGTGGAATTTTATGATTTCACCTATATCTTGTATGTTCCCACCATCTCCTTCAGTCCTTACAAAAGTTCTTGAATCTACAGCAACATATCCTGTCCTTATATATAATTGAGTAGTGGTTCCACAATGTTCCAACACGTCGCCTTAATCAGTTCGCTCCCTGATCTGTCATTCAGAGGGTCTCCTTATCCAGTGGCTGCTTTGCCTGAGTCCTGCCTCCAACATTCTCAACAGTTTGCTGTTCCTCTCCCCGCACAACCAATCAGAACACAGAGGTCATTTGCATATGTGGCCTGACTAGCCTTTGCCTCAGAACACAGAGGTCGTTTGCATATGCAACCTCACTGGCCTTTGCCTCTAACATTTTAAACAGTTTGCTGCTGCTGTTCTGAGGTACAATACATTTCCCCTTAGTGCCTGGTGGGGGAAACCATTGTTGCAAATATCCAGATGAGGGCTGAAGATCACTCAGAATTACAACTGCTATCAAAATGGCAGAGATCAGTTCCCCTGGAGAAAATGGTGGACTCTGTGTTCTTATATCCTGCTGAGATGGCCCCCGTATGACAGCCAATGAGACGTAGCAGTCAGGGCATCAGAGCATGGTAGAGGCTGCATGTGTGTGTAGGGGGTGGAAAGTTGAAGAGTGAGGGGAAAATAAAGGTAGGTTGATGATTGGCTGAGGAGATATGGTTGCCAACTCCAGGTGGAAAATTCCTGGAGATTTGAGGGACAGAGTCTGGAGAGGGTGAGGTTTCAGTAGGGGTGGGATCTCAGAAAGGTACGATGCCATAGACTCCACCCTTCAAACCAGCCAGTCCGTCCCAGGGACCCACTGTTGCCAATCTCCAGGTTGGGCCTGGAGATCACTCAGAACTACAACTGCTTTCCAGGAGGGAGGGAGGAGAAGATGGAAAGCTGAAGTCAGAGGGGCAGATCAGGGTAGCTTGATGGTTGGCTGTGAAGGAGATACGGTTGCCAACTCCAGGTTGGAAAATTCCTGGAGATTTGAGGGGTGGAGCCTGGAGAGGGTATGGTTTGAGGAGGGGTGGGACTTCAGACAGGTAACATGCCATAGACTCCACCCTCCAAACCAGCCATTCCCTCGTGGGGAACCATTGCTGCCAATCTCCAGGTGGGGGCTGGAGATCACTCAGAATTACAACTGTTCTTCAGGTAGCAGAGATCAGTTCCTCTGAAGAAAATGGTGGACTCTGTGTCATTACACCCTGCTGAGGTCGCCACAGCAAATTGACACTGAGTGCCCAGGACTAAGGCACCCACCCAAAGCCTCTTTCTAGAGCTCGTTGCATTTATTTCCACAACGAGCCTTATTCCTAGTCTTCAATAAAGCATTTCACTGCCTATACTGTGTGTGAAGAGTGTTTTAGCTGGAGACCTGACAGTTGCCTTCATGGCTTTGCCGCTGCTGCTGGGCCACACCAAGTTGTGTGGTTAGTGAGTTTCTGGTAGTTGCTGGGCCTGTCCCCAGACAGTCCACCTCTATCAGGGGACACAACAATGGATGGGGGAAGCCCTTCTATCAGTGTTTTGGCCTCCCTATTTCCCCATGGCTTTGCTTAACAGAAACCAATTGCTTGGTTGCCAAACAATTCTTAATAGCCACTAAGAGTTCTTTTTTGAAAAGTTACAGGTGTTGCTTCTATTGTTTCGGGGAGTTTTAATCGCCTGGTTTTTTAACAATTCCAGATTTTTTTTTCTTTGCAACCCTGGTACTTCCTTCAGGTATGCAGAGAAATCCCTCTAGTCTGTTCCTAACTCAGTTTTGCAGCTAATCACATCCTCTATGGTACAGCTTGGAAAGATAGACAGACAGACAGACATGACAAGTGAGGACTCCCAACACTCAGAGGGGGGCAGGAATCCTATCATCTCCCTCTTGCTCACCAGAACTCCCACTTCCTGGTTCGTGCTATTCCCTTGCTCACCCACCTGCACTGCTGACATCTCCATGGCTTCGGTGAGTGGTGGCTCCTACTTCTACTGCTTTCCCCTTCCTACTTGCAACACTTCTGGCTCACATAGCAGCAGGGGAGCTGGCAGCAGTTCCCAGCCCTCCTCCTCCTCCCCCACCTGCCAGGAATCTCCACAAGACTCGGTGGTGGTGGGGAGATCCCATCCTCTCTACCTTGCTCATTGGGCCACCCATTTGCTGGCTCCTGATGTTCCTCACCTGCACAGCTGCTGCCTCTGCAGCTCACACAGGGTGGGGTGGGTGGACAGCAGTTCCCACTCCTCTTCCCCTGCCCACCATCTCACCTGCTGGGAGTGCTGCCACTGCCTCTCCCTGGCTCTTCCTCCCTTTCTCTCCCTCTCCCACTGCAGCACTAATGCCTACACCTGCCTGGCTCAAATGGTGACAATAGTAACCATTCCTCCTCTTCCACCCCACGGCAGGCACAGCCAGCCCTCCATATGATGCCTCCACTGCATGGAGGGTGGATAAGGCCAGCCAACAGAGGTGCTCCTCTGCACAAGTGCAGAGATCCTTCCTCTCTTTTGGAGAAATTTAACCCCTCCCTAGTTTTTTGGGAAGTTTTCAGATTTTTCTACAAACCTGAACCCCCAGGTTTGCAGAACTATCTGTTTTCTGTCTCCTCGGGCCTAATCCATGGATTTAAGTATCCACATAAGGAGCCATGTTGACTATATGGCAGCATATTGATGCTTTAACACTTTCTATGTTCCATTTTCTGTGTTCCGATGTGATATCCAACGATTTCAAATCATAAAAACAAACTATTTAAGTGACAGTATTCTTACATTAATGTGTTCTATCAGCTCCTGTGTAAGTCTTTCTGCCAGAAGCGGGATGGTAGCTTTGCCTTCTTCAAAAAGAGGTCTGAGTCGAGACATAAATCATTTAATGTTTTGAAATATGACTCAATGTATAATTTGGATATAGACAGATAAGTAACAGGTAATTCCCAGCTTTCTCTCACTTTATCACACTCTCCCACTCAAAAGGACCGTGCAGATGGTCAACGCTGTGCACAAAGTAGGCACATATACAGGAAGCAGGGTCACATTCTCTGGCTCCACAGCTCATGTCCCTGTACGCAGCCAGACATCCCAAGGGAATCATATTCATTTACAAGAAAACTTGCTTCAGTTCTGACACACAAGTGAGCCTTTAAAAAAAGACCCACACACAAATAAAACAGCAATTTGACATAACTGCTATAGTAACTACTAGTTCTTTGGGGGGGGGGAATAAAAGCAAGTTTTTAGCCCTTTTTGATGGAAGTATACATCAATGTATAGCAATGAAAAAGGCTAGAAATTTAAATTGTTTGGTTTGTTTTAAAACAAACAAACAAACAAAAATAAAGTCGGGAATGCAGAGGAACTGGTAGACAGATCATTTTAATGTTGTAGTTCCACAGCAGTATGCCAATTGTCATTTTTTTTAAGACTGGAAAATTACCTCAGAGTGGAAGACTGCAGTGCAGCTATAGAACTCTTGTGGTGTGGCAAGAGATTCTGACAAGAGTCAGTATCTGAAGGGCAAGGAAAAGACAGGCAGGCTAAAAAGAAATCCTGCCAGTGCTTGGGGTTGTAACATGGGTAGATACAGATAGAGTCAATGAAGCAATGTAGAGCTAGAGACCAGGTTGCCCTCCTCAGTCATACATACAGCAGAGCAGGGGTCGTTTTGTAGAAAAAGAGCTAGGGGAACTCATTAGCATAACTCATTAGCATATGCCACACCCCCTGGGAGTGCGAGGAAGCCCCGCCAAGGCCCTCCCTGGCCCCAGGCAGGCAGGGGTGGGGAGAGGCGGGGAGGAAGCAACTTACCCTCCCCTCTTCTCCTACCTCCTCCTGGCTGAATGAGGGCCGGAAGTGGGGCGGCTGGAAGCAGGGGGCGGGGCTTCATCGTGTGCCCCGCCCCCACCCGGGGGAACTGCGATCGCCCGCGATCCCCCCTGAAATGACCTCTGCCCTTCCTCTTCTCCTGCCTCCTCCTGGCTGAATGAGGGCTGGAAGCGGGGCGGCCAGGAGCAAGGGGCGGGGCTTCATCGTGTGCCCCGCCCCCCGCACCTCACCCGGGGGAACTGCGATCCCCCCCGAAATGACCTCTGCAGCAGAGAGAGACAGGAGGGGATCATGGTGACCCTTTAACAGAGCTATGGGGCCAAATTATGGACCATCTGGAGCCTCCCAAAATCGTAGCCACCTGTCACAAGAGGTGTGTTGCTAGCCCCCTTTTCTTCAAGCTATGGCTTGTTATACAAATCCATTTTCTTTTGCATTATATTGCAGTAAGATATTTATTTATTTGTTTAGATTTATATCCTGCCCTCCCAGCCAAGGCCGGCTCAGGGCGGCTTACAAACAGAATAAAACATACACATAAATTTAAATGGTCCTAAAATCAGATAAAATATATCAACATTTAAAAGTGCTAGAAACTGATAATACAATAGATTATTAAATGATGGCGGTCAACCTTCAGCCTTACATCGTAGTGATCAGCTCATTGATCTAATCTTCATGCAGTCGGCACAGGCTGTTCTTATGGCTTCAGGGGACAGTGGGTTCCCTATTGGGGGTGGCTCATAATTAAAGGCCTGGAGGAAGAGCTCCATCTTGCAGGCCCTGCGGAACTGCATAAGGTCCCACAGGGCCCTGATCTCCTCTGGGAGCTCATTCCACCAGAAAGGAGCCGCCACTGAGAAAGCCCTGGTTAAAGCCAGCCTGGCATCCTTGGGACTGGGGAGGGCCAATCAATGTTGTGACCCTGATCACAGTGTTCTCTGGGGAACAGATTCTGTTTGCATTGGGTAATCCTACCTGAAATAATCATGCTCTTCAAAAAATTCTCTTTCATTCTGGATTGCAGCTGCCAAGGTCATTTTTTTGTTGATGTCACTTTGCCCACGGCATTTAACTATCATATATCCTTTATTCAAGAAAACTCTGTGATTTCGGACTACGTCAACTACCTCTGCCTCTGTTCCTTTGTCAACCAGGTCAGGCTTGGTCAGAATTCCTGTGAAGTAATTGATGGACATAAAAGGAAAGGATTATTTAATTAATAGAGGCAGGACTTAATATCTGAGCCAAACCTTGGCCAAACCACTTTTGAATACTATGTCATGTTTTTGGACCATTTGCTGTGGTGAAAAGGGGCATTCCTCCACACTGAGAAGTTATGACTCCTTTTCCAACCTGCTGAAAACACAGAGCAGAGCCTCCATGTGAAAGCATGTGTGGGGCTATCAGGCAGGTCTGAGGCCTGCATATCAAGATATATTTGGTGGGCATATGACTTTCTCTTTGCCATTCAGGTGTTTTCTGGGAAGAGGACAGACAAAGTACCCTGACTTATCAGAGTGTGTAATCATTTGAGTGTCGGACTAAATCTGGGAGACCTGGGTTCAAGTCCCCATCCTTCCATGGAAGCTTGTTGCACAAACTGGAGCCTGACACTCACTATCGGCTGAACTTGCCTCACAGGGTTGTTGTAGCGATGCTTAAAAGGAGGGAAGAACAATGTACACTGCCTTGGGTCCCCACTGGGGAGAGAAGCGGGGTATAAATATCTAAATTATTTTTTAAAATTATCCTTCCACTTCCCATAGGGTTGCCACTCTGCCAGCCCAGCATTTCCAAATTCCTAGAATGTCTGTTCAAATACCAAACTCACAGGCATGTGGGTGTTATGTATTGGGACTGGAACATTCCAGGACTGTTTCTATCAGAGACTGGCTGAGCTTGGAGCTCTAGAACAAAAGCCCACCAGGACTCTAGAGGTGGCCAATGGGGAATTAATGGTTCTGACAATGGCCTATTGTTAGTAGCTGTTTGGGGAAGTGTGTGGAGTTGCATGCTATTTAAACAGGGCAGTTGCCCTGGCTTTTGGCTTTTAGTGATTCTTGCTGAATCACTAATAAAGGAGAGCTGATAACTAAGCTTGGGGTCGGACCATCCATGGGACCCAGTATTTAACAAAGGGGAAGTGGCTTCTGCTCTGTGACAAGCTTCTATGCTGGAACCTGAGCAAAGGTAAAAAGAAGCTTGTCCTGCAGAAGAATTTTGCCCCTTCCCGGCTGGGCAGCTTTGGGGTATTTTTTTCGTGGGCACTGGTGTGCTGAGAACTGGCCAGAGGATTGGTTAGTAGAGGGTCTTGGAAGGGACTTTACTTTCTTAGAATTTTTTTCCTGATTCTGATGGTGGTTTGGTTATGGGGCAAGGAGATGGCAAACCACTCAGTTCACTTTTGGTGTGACAACTTAGCGGTGGTTCACGTTATCAACTCCCTCATGTCCAAATCATCACGGGTGATCAGGCTTGTCAGGGCATTCATACTGTGCTGTCGGTGGTTGAATGTGTTGTTTTTGGCTAAGCATGTCCCAGGAATTACTAATAGGGTGGTTGTTGTGTATGCTGGCCACCACCGGGAGGCCAGCGTATAGCCTGAGCTTGACTCAGGATGAACAATAGGGACTAGGCTCCTAGTCCCTCCACCGGGGAACCAATGGACTCCATGGCGGGAAATTCAAACCCACCAATGGGGTCCAGGGGTGTGGCCCTGGGGTGTATATAGTTGGCCTGCCGGCCGTTTGTCTACTGTCTCGTTGTGTGCCTAATAAAGCGTGCTATGCACTACGTCGTTGTCTGTCGTCCATCCATGCGGCAACCCACTACACAATAGTGGCGACGAGGATGGGATTCAGCCGCATCTGAGCCGGGCTGTCGCGAGGAACCAGGAGAACGCGAAGCAGCCGATCCGATGAGCAAGACCGCTTCTCCCGCAACCCCTCCGACGCGCACAATGGCAACCGCTCCTGGGCTAGGGCTGCTTCCGCCCTTCGACATAGCCCGCCCGCAGGACTGGCCAGCCTGGGTCAGAGGCGCCAAGTCCGCGCTGGAGTTTTTCGACGTCACCGACGAAGGCAAGAAGAGGGGATTCCTCCTGGCCTCCTGCGGCACCGCCGTGGTGTCCCTGGCCAGACGGCTACTCTCCCCCGCAGACCGCAGTTGCGTGGGAAAGGTCGCACGCCGCCCCATCCGCAGCTCTCCAGGTCGAGCCGGAGGGTCCCGAGGAGCAGGACGTCCACCGGACCTACGGAGGGGCCCGGCAGCGCACCCAAGCACAACAACGCACCCCAGCGTCGACCTCTAGCGCCGGCCGCCAGCATCCCAGCGCGTCCACATGTGCCAGCTGCGGAGAACCACACAACCGGAGGACCTGCCGTTTCCGCAATGTAGGTTGCCGCAACTGTGGCCGCACGGGCCACATCGCCAAGGTCTGCCGAGCCAAGCCAACAGGACGGCCCCAGCCAGCCCACCAAAGAGCAGAAGCCCACTTCGAGGAGGACGCCGGCGCCGAGGACCTCTACCTCCTCGCCCACTCAGCAGAGAAGGTACTGAGACTCCCCGGCAAATCCCCCGCCCCCAAGTTCATGACCACTGTTAAAATAGAGGGGTCCCCCTGCGAGATGGAGGTGGATTCGGGCTCCGCCGCTTCAATAATTTCCGCGGCGACGCTTAAGCACCTGTGCCCTAAGGGGGGACCCCGACTGCGGCCAGCCCTGGTGACGCTCATGGACTTCCAGTGGAACCAGGTGCCAATAAAGGGGGTTGGAACATTCAAGGTTCAGTACAAAAAATTTAAGAGGAACCTGGATTTAATAGTGGTCGAGGGCGACCTAGTCAGCTTACTGGGACGGGCCTGGTTCGAACCCCTAGGAATCACGGTCAAAGGGGTACAGGCGTGCACGGCCCAAGACTTCACGGGGATTTGCCAAGAGTTTCCTGCCGTTTTCGACGACTCTCTGGGTTGGTATACGCCCCCCCCCCCGGCCCGGTGTCCTTGTGCTTAGACCCCTCGGTGGCCCCCATAAGGATGCGTGCCAGGACGTTTCCCTTATCGGTCAAGCCAAAGATAGATGCGGAACTGGACCGCCTAGTGGCACAAGGCATCCTGGAGCCCGTCTCCCACGTGGCGTGGGAGACTCCAATTGTCGTGGTGAACAAACCTAATGGGGCAGTCCGCATCTGCGTGGACTATAAATGCACTTTGAACAAGGCGCTGCAGGACCACGCATACCCGGTCCCTGTAGTTAGCCATGTTCTGGCCACCTTGGGCGGGGCAAAGATCTTTGGGAAATTGGATCTAGCCCAAGCGTACCAGCAGCTGCCAGTAGATGAGGCAACTGCAGAAGCGCAGACCATTGTTACCCACCGGGGGGCATTCCGTGTTAAGCAATTGAGTTTTAGAGTCAGCGTGGCGCTTGGGCTGTTTCAGCAACTAATGGACTCTCTTCTCAAAGGGATCCCCGGCATCATGCCCTTCTTCGATGATGTAATGATCGCCGCCGCCACGCCCGCCGACTTCGCGACTCGCCTCCGTGCCGTGCTCAGCTGCTTCCAGGACGCCGGGCTGAAGGTAAAGCTGGAAAAGTGCTGCCTGGGAGTACCGTCGGTTGACTTTTTGGGCTTCACGGTGGCCGGGGAGGGCCTTCACCCGACTCGCGAGAAAATAAAAGCGATTGTGGAGGCACCACCGCCCAAGTCCAAGGCGGAGCTGCAGGCCTTTCTCGGCATCTTGAACTTCTACCACGCCTTCCTCCCTCACAAGGTGGCGGTAGCGGAACCCCTCCATTGCTTACTGGACAAGCACGCCCCCTGGGTGTGGGGACCGTGTCAGGCCGCCGCGTTCCGGAACGTGAAGGAACTTTTGATCTCCAACGCGGTCTTGGCCCACTTCGACAAGTCGTTGCCGGTGGTCCTGGCCTGTGACGCCTCACCCTACGGCGTTGGGGCTGTGCTGGCGCATCGCCTGCCTGATGGCCGGGAGGTCCTGGTCGCGTACTACTCTCGCACGCTGTCTGCGGCAGAACGAAATTACGCCCAGGTAGATCGGGAGGGTCTCGCGATCGTGGCCGGGGTCAAGAAATTTCACGATTTCATCTACAGCCGGCCATTTACCATCGCCACCGACCACCGCCCTCTCCTCGGTCTCTTCGCCCCCGACCGGAGAACGCCTCAAGTGATCTCCCCACGTGTCCTGAAATGGACCATTTTCCTGGCGGCCTACGACTACCGGATCGAGCACCGCCCCGGGAATGCCATGGGCCATGCAGACGCCCTCAGCCGCCTGCCCCTGCCGGACGTCGTGGTCGACCCTGCCCTGGTGCACCGGGTCCTTCAGATGGAAGACCTCCCAGATGCGCCTCTCCAGGCTGTGGACATCGCCCGCCGCTCGGCCCTCGGCCCCATCCTATCCCGGCTGCTGGGCTGGGTGGTGAGGGGGTGGCCTACCAAGATAGAGGAGCCAGAGTTCGCAGCATTCACGGCTCGCAGAGAAGAATTGTCGGCGCACAAAGGCTGCCTACTGTGGGGAGACCGGGTTGTGGTCCCCAGCGTCCTGAGGCAAAAGGTGCTACACGCCCTGCACAAGGCCCACCCAGGCATCGTGCGGATGAAGGGCCTTGCCCGGAGCTACGTCTGGTGGCCGGGCATCGATGCAGAGGTTGAAGCATGGGTGAAACGGTGCCCCACCTGCCAAGCGGTGAGACCCAGCCCACCGGGGGCACCTTCCCAGTCTTGGGAATCCACCCACACCCCGTAGTCTCGGCTCCACATAGACTTTGCCGGACCCTTCCATGGACTGTTGTTTTTGGTGACGGTGGATTCCTACACCAAGTGGTTAGAGGTCACCCCCGTCTCCACAACGTCCTCAAGGGCCACCATCCACACCCTCCGACAGATCTTCGCCACCCACGGCCTGCCAGACACGATCGTCTCGGACAATGGGACGGCGTTCACCTCGGAGGAGTTCCGGCAGTTCCTCAGCGGCAACCTGATCCGTCACATCAGGTCAGCACCATTCCACCCCGTGACCAACGGCCAAGCGGAGCGAATGGTGCGGACTACGAAGGAAGCGCTGAGCCGCCTGACGGAGGGAGACTGGGAGCGGTGTATCGCACAGTTTCTCCTGGCGCATCGCACCACAACCAACCCGGTTAGCGGCCGATGCCCAGCGGAGCTCCTCCTGGGGCGGAGACCGTGAACCCTGTTGGATCGCCTGCACCCAGATTGGGCCCCAGAGTCGCGGACCTCGCCCGAGGTGCGGGAGGCGCCTCGGGGGTTCTTCCCGGAGGAACCCGTCTTCGCCAAGAACTTCGGTAGGGGGCCGGAATGGCTAGCGGGGCACATCATCCGACCCCTGGGCGCTGTAATGTACGAGGTGTCCACCGAGTGCGGCCAAGTACTGCGGAGGCACATTGATCAGCTTCGGCGGCGCATGCTCCTGGAACACAGCAGCACGCAGGGCCCGGAACTACCGCCGGCTGAGGAAAGGGACGATCAGCCACCCGCAGCCCAAGAGGCTACCCCGGAAGAGTCTCCTAGCCTGACGCCACCAAGTTCGCCGGCGGTCACGGAAGAACCCCCAGCCGCCGGCACAGGGGGGTCAGCCGGGCCCCCACCTGCAGCAAACCCCAACGCAGCGGAAGGAACACCAGAGACCACCACACCGGGTCCCCGACGGTCCGCGAGAGAGCGATGGGCCCCGTCTCTATTTAAAGGACTATGTGCCCTAGGGTGGTTCCGAACTATGGGGGGAGGGATGTTGTGTATGCTGGCCACCACCGGGATAGCCTGAGCTTGACTCAGGATGAACAATAGGGACTAGGCTCCTAGTCCCTCCACCGGGGAACCAATGGACTCCATGGCGGGAAATTCAAACCCACCAATGGGGTCCAATGGAGGAGAGGAAGGGTCCTCTGCCTCACATCCTGGTCATTCATCTGGGTGGCAATGATCTGGGTTTGGTTAAGGGCAAGGCCCTTTCCCTGCAAGGTAGGGAGGTCCTGAGGTTCATCCAGAGCAGGTGACCTGGTGCTCTTATTGTATGGTCCATGATGCTTCCGTGCCGCGTTTGGAGGAAAGCATGGGACCCACATCGCATTGAGAAGACTCATCACAAGGCCAATAGGGCCTTGCAGAAGGCCTTGGCTAAGGGGTTGGGCATTTACCTTCTGCACCCTGCGATGTGGGCTGAATTTGATGTCCGGTGGGCACAAGTGCCTAAGCAGACGCTTGACCTTGGAGTTGGCAGAATAGTGTTGGGCAAGTAAAAGCAGAGTGGTGAGCACCTTTGGCATCTCCCCTCTGTTAGGGGGACAGGGGTCTGTCAGGATCGGATAGTGGGTTGTGTGGCTCATGGCTGTGAATGGGGACTGCCAGTGGGACCCCCTGCACAAGTCCTTCTCTCAAGCTTTATGGTTTGGGGGGGGGGGTCAGAGCTTTACGGTGGTAACCTGTTTGCCTGATCAGCCTGGCTCAAGCCATGCTATGGATGGCTAGATCCAGGGGCAGAGTGGCCCACCCAATACAGAACAAGGAGGGGTCCAAGGGTGGACCCCTGGCTTGACCTGTTTAATTAAGTTAGCCCTTGCCATTTTCTCAGTTGATGTTTTAAATAAAAGTGTCCCTTTAGTACCCAAAATCCTGTGTCTGCTTCTTTATTCTGACTGGGGGAGGGGATGGATAAATAGCCATTCCTATGTCTCTTTGAAGGTCCTCCAGTACAAACCTGAGCTTTGTTTGCATTACTGGATTTTTTTTTTGCTGAAAGCTCTGAGATTTTTTTAAAAGCAAGCTGGAAATACTTTTTATAACAAACATCCTTGACAATCATGCCCTTTCCCCTGCCGCTGCAACCCACTGCAAGCAGAGTAATGTGTTTATTTACTTACCAAGTGTTCTTTCTCCTGTACTGTCTACTTCTTGAGCCATTTTCAGTGCCTCTGTAGTTGCAATATCTACATTACTTGGCACCACTACCAAACAGATGGTTTGTTGTTTGTTAATATACTTCTTAATTAAGGTTAAGATCTGTAACAAAATTAAGACTGGTTACTAATGCCTTTTTAGATTCCAGGCCTGCTGGTAGACTTGCTGTTTTGAAGGAGGCTGAAGTTGGTTCCTTATTCGCACTTCCTTATTCATTCCTTATTCGTTACTTATTCAAGTAGTTATTCAGAAACACTAAAGAGAGAGTTGGAAAGCTCCGAACCCCAAAATAAGAACTGGACCACCACATATCATATACCCCCACATTCACAGGACTCTCCCCTTGGAATACTGTGTGGAGTTCTGGTCACCACACCTTAAAAAGGATATTATAGCTTTGGAAAAAGTGCAGAAAAGGGCAACTCAAATGATAAAAGGGTTGGAACACTTTCCCTATGAGGAAAGGTTAAAGCGCTTAGGGCTCTTTAGCTTGGAGAAAAGACGACTGAGGGGTGACATGATCGAGGTTTATAAGATTATGCATGGGAAAGAGCAGGTAAAGAAAGAGGTACTTTTCTCCCTTTCTCACAATACAAGAACCCGTGGGCACTCCATGAAATTGCTGAGCGGTCGGGTTAGAACGGATAAAAGGAAGTACTTATTCACCCAAAGAGTGATTAACACATGGAATTCACTGCCACAGGAAGTGGTGGGTGCTACAAGCATGGACGGCTTCAAAAGGGAATTAGATAAGCATATGGAGCAGAGGTCCATCAGTGGCTATTAGCCACAAGGTATAGATAGGGGCTCTGGGGCAAGTGATGCTCTGTCTTCTTGGTGCTTTGGGGGGCCAACAGTGGGAGGGCTTCTAATGTCTGGGCCCCACTGGTGGACCTCCTGATTGCACCTGGTATTTTTGGCCACTGTGTGATACAGAGTGTTGGACTGGATGGGCCTTTGGCCTGATCCAGCATTGGCGTCTCTTATGTTGGTTGCCGGGTGGAATGGTGCGGACGTGCTGTGGGTGATGAGGTTCGCTGCCAAAAATTCTTTGAATTCACTGGCCGTGAAGCATGTTCCGTTGTCAGACACTAGAGTGTTTGGCAGCCCGTACGTTGCAAACAGTTTCCTCAATACATTTATTACAGTTTGTGCTGTCATTTTGGATGTGGGGACAACCTCGAGCCACTTCGAGTAAGCGTCTATGACAATTAAAAAATCTGCCCTTGAAAAGGGCCTGCGAAGTCCACATGGACTCTTGACCATGGGTGGTGGCATTTCTCCCACTGCGTTACTGGTGCCTGTGGGGGATCAGGTCGGGACTGCTGGCATTCAGGGCATTTCTGGACCCAGGACTCTATGTCCTCGTCTATCTTTGGCCACCAGAAATACCCTCTGGCCAGTCCCTTCATACGTACGATGCCAGGGTGGCATTCATGCAAAGCCTCTAAGACTTTTCCCCTTAGCTTTGGGGGAACCACTACCCTGTTGCCCCATAGCAAACATCCCCGGTGTACCAACAATTCATTTTGCCGTGATGCAAATGGCTTAAAGCATTCATTTACTCGCCCCACCGGCCACCCCTCCACACCCAGTTAAGAACCCTGGCGATGGTGGGGTCCAGGGTGGAGGCGGATGCAATGTCTGATGCATGCACTGGAGGTTTGGCCAGTTCTTCGAGGGCCATTACCTCGTAAGCTGGTGCAGGGTCATTGTCCAGTTTTGGCAGTGGGCAGCAGCTGAGGGCGTCGGCATGCTCCATGTTTCTTCCCAGCCGGTGCTCCAGGACATAGTCATCATAGGCGGAGAGAAAAACCGTCCATTGTAACATCCACGCAGACAATACATGGGATGTCTGGCAGTCTGGCGCAAAGATTCCAAGGAGGGGTTTGTGGTCCGTGGCCATAACGAATGGTCTACCATACAAAACGGAAGATTTGTCTTCACTTACTGTGAAGCTTCCTTCTCAGTGGTCCAGGAGTGGGGCGGTCCTTCCATGACTCCTTACTCATGGGAATTAGCCCCCCCTCCACTTGTAGGGCCGGCCAAACTTTGTTCCCAGAGGGGATGGGCTTGTCCTCTGGCTTCCCAGTTTGTCACCAAGCCACCTTCTCCCCACAATCCATGTAATCCTTAATGGACAAAAACATCCCAACACAACACCCCCACCACCCCCTCTCCAGAGGGCCTCAGGAAGTAGACAACACACTTTCTGTGAATTCTCAACATCAACTTTTATTCACAGAAAGAACAAAGGATGGAACACATCCCCCAATAACCAACAATGTAACAGAAACCTCATACCATAAAGAACTCCCAGACTGGACTTCCGGTATGGCGCATTGATGGGTGGGTGGGAGCGTGATGTGCTCCGTCCCTGCCCAAACCTCCTTTGCTTTGTTCGGGCTCCCTGCTTGTCAGGGGAGCTTGACCAGCAACCCGTCGGTGGGAGCTGGAGCAAGGGGCGTTTATTCTGGCCCCTCCCGCCTTCGGCAGGGTGGGGGGTGTTCAGTTTCGGCCTCGACGCCAAGGCGAATGGAAGGAGGAACATGGCCGCCGCCACGTTCTACTAAACGCGACCACCCGTTGTTTTTATCTAAGCATATAAAAGGATTATCGGTAACACTCGGCAATATTCCAGGAGCACAGAAAAGAAGTCGGAAAGTGCAAAGAGAAGCTCCCCCAAAAAAGAGTTACGTCCACCGCGGAATAAATGAGCGGCCGGGAAAAGACACTGACAAGACTGTGAGTTTCCTTATTACCTCGAGGGGGAAGATATACTGCATCGGGTTGGACTGGATTATCGGTAGAGGAGGAAAAAACAGAGGGGCATAGACTGTTTACTAAAGATGGAAGACTTCCTGAAAGCCCTAAAAGAAGCAATTCAAGTCATCCACTACCGGGAGCCTAAGCTTTTTTGTCGCCTCCGGTATGAGAGAATAAAACCTAGAAAACATTGAAGTATTAGCTAAAATAGGAAGTAAGAGAGAAGGAAGGATTGAAAGACGCAGAAAGTGGCAGAGGAAAAGGGAAGAAGGACATGAATCATGGAAAGAGGAAAGATGGAGATACAGAACAGAAAGACTAGGAGTTCAAAGGATGTGTAAAGACCGCAGACAAGTAGAAGGATTGAGACAGAAGAACAGAAGACTGAGGCGGAAAGAGAAAAATAAATTGTATAAAAATAGAACGCTTGATGTCTGTCAGATATAGGATTACTTGGAAAAAAGACCCCAAAAATAATCATTCAAAAATGAATTTTTATTGGTAGTGGGTTAGTTAGAAGACTAGGAGGTCAAAGGGTGTGTAAAGATCGAAGCCATGTTGAAGGATTGAGACAGAAGAACAGAAAGTAGAGGCGGAAAGAGAAAAACAAATTGTATAAAAAATAGAAAGTTTGGTATTTTCCAGATGTAGGATTAACTGGCATAAACACCCAAGAATCACTTTAATCATCCTTTTTAATCTCCTCCTTAAGCCAAGCCAGGAGATTCGTTTTGGCTTCCTCTCTGGACATATCCAACCCCTGGGAGTCATTCTTAGAGGAATGTGAAACTGCTAGGTCATCCAAGTAAGGGAACTTGAGGAACCTGCTTTGTCAGCCATTTTGTCTTCCTCTGCAAAAATGAAAGTTTACCTAAAATGGCTGACTTTCCCACCTTTATTCCACTTTCCTCAACCAAGGCTGCGAAAAGAAAGTGGAAACTACTTTCAACCCCCACAACCCTCAGTGGAGTTTCCCCCTTTTTCAGCAAGAAAGGGAAACCCAGTCATAACAGTAAATCTCACAGAGTAAGAGGACTGCCAACAGAAAAAAGGGGGAAGGAGAAAGAAAAGGGGGGAATTTACCCTCCTTCTGGCTCTATGAGGCTTCTCCCACCTCAGCCAGGACCCCCATTACCAGTGCCATTCCTACCCTGTTTCAGAAGAGGCACTGACCACTGGCCCCGATGTGCTTTCCTGAGACTCCTACTCCTGCAGATGAAAGCACGTGGTGTTTCAGTCAGTTCCTGAGAACTGCACCGCCAAAACCGCGCTGCTCATGCCTTTCCACCGGCTCCGCTGCAGTTCCCTTGCCTCTCAAACATCCGGAAGAGGGAAGGAGCCCCTGTATGCGGCCAATTCCGCTTGAGCATGTGGGAGCCGGGTCCGCGGCTGTTGCGACGTCCAAGAGCCTCCCCAGACCGTCAAGCACCCGCCCGTACAAACCACGTTTTTTTCTTGGTGCTCTTCTGCATGCCGCCTGGTTCAGGGAGGGGTAGAAAGTTAATTAACTTTCCCCGCCGCCCAGAAAACTCTGAACACCGTCTTCTTTCTTTGCTGTGGAATCTTCATGCTCACGAGAGCACAGCCAAACATCCTGCTCCTAAGGCAAGGCCGGTAGAACTGGGAAGCCAGAGGACAAGCCCCTCCCCTCTGGGATCAAAGTTTGGCCGGCCCTGCAAGTGGAGAGGGAGGGGCTAAGTCCCATGAGTAAGGAGTCATGGAAGGACCGCCCCACTCTCTGGACCACCGGAGAAAGTCATGGAATGTTTTAATGCCGGCCACTAGCGCCAACTCCTCCTTGTCGATTTGGGCATAGTTTCTTTCAGCCGGTGTCAGTGTCCGTGAAAATAAGGTGATAGGTGCCTCCCTGCCATCAGCCAGTACGTGGCTCAACACAGCCCCCACCCCATACGGAGATGCGTCCACCACCAAAACCAGTTGCTTGGCCTCGTTGTAGTGGGTAAGGACCGCCTCTGATGACAACAGTGATTTAATGGCAGTAAAAGCCCAGTCATGCTGAGGGTCCCATTCCCACTTTGCCCCCTTGTTAAGGAGGCGATGCAAAGGTACCGCTATCAATGCCTTATGGAGCAGGAAGGCATGATATAAATTTAAAATCCCTAAGAAGGATTGCAGTTCCTTCTTAGAGGTAGGTCTGGGGGCGTTTTGGATGGCCCGTACCTTCCCTTCCGTAGGGTGGACACCTTTAGCGTTGATTTGGAACCCCAAAAACTCCACACTGGGTACTCCTAATTGACACTTAGCCCTCTTTACTTTCAGCCCAGCCTCTTGGAATTTACGTAAGACGGACCTGAGGTGGTCTGTCAGTTCTTCCTTGGACCGGCCGGCAATCAACACATCGTCGAAATAGGGGACCACCCCAGGCAGGCCCCTTAACAAACCCTCCATTCGTCCTTGCGATATTTAAGCCGTATAGGCGCTACAGCAGGATCTAGGTCAAACGTTACAGGAGGCCCCCTATACATTCCCAGAGTACCATCAAAAACACCTGCAAATTCCAAATACAATGAATTCAATTTATTTGCATTGACTTGGTTGATACCACTTATTGCAATTCTGAGGGCGTCAAACCAGTCTAAGCCCAACACACTGGCTCGGCGTCCTCCCTGAAAATCGGAAAGGTGGATGGTGCTCGGCTGCAAATGCCGATGGCTCCATTGTGGAAACAAGCATTGCAAGGTTTCCGACGAAATGACGGTCACTGATGATCCTGAGTCGACCTCCATCTCGCACGGCACGCCATTCAGCAAGATGGTGATGTGGATCTTCTTCTTTGCTCATGATCCGGTCCTCAGGATGAGGATCCGGTCCTCATGATCCTGTCCTCAGGGCAGGAACAGCAGCTGGTCAGATGGCAATCTGTACACCTTGCATTGTCCTTGCCTCGAACCCAGGGGCTTGCACGAGGAGATGACGGTGGTGTTTATTCCTCTTGGCCCTGCAGGCTCTGGCCAAATGGCCTTGCTTGTCACAGGACTGGCAGATGACGTCCTTCGCCCAGCATCGATCCCGCTCGTGATCTCCGCCGCATCCGGCACAGGCTCACCTCGGCACAGTTTTCACTTGGGTCTGCTTGGGCCTCAGAGTACGAGAGTAGATGACATCATCATGCTCACCATCGGACTCGCTCGTTGATTTGTGGTGCACAGCTTTGTTGGCCCCCTGTTGGATTGGGACCTGGTTTTGACGCACTTCTTGTGTTGCTTTCTCAGCGGTCTTAGCGGCAACAGCCTCAGAGTAAGCCACAGCATAGGTTAGAGCCATTTGTGCGAACAATCATTGCTGCAGCTTCTCATCCCTCATGCCACAGACGAGTCAGTCGAGGAGCGCTTCCTTGAGGTTGGTGAAATTGCATGGACTTGCAGCCTTCCGCAAGGCTGATACGTACTCAGAAACCGTCTCGTTCACGGCCTGGGACCTCTTGTAGAATGCGTGTTGGCTGGCTATCTGCGAGGGTTGTGGTGCGAAATGCCCCTGCAGTTTTAGTTTTAGTTCAGCCAGGGACACGGTTTTGATCTCAGCCGGGGCGACCAGGGACTGGGCAACATCGAAGACAGCCCTTTTGCAGGAGCTGAGGAGGGTTGCCTTCTGCTGGTCCTCACCCTCGATCTGGTTAGCCTGGAGGTGGAACTCGAACCTGGTCAGGTATGAATCCCAGTCCTCGAGATCGGGTTCAAATGCCTCGAACCGTGGGTTGACAGCCATCACTGCTCTTTGTGTTGGCACTGGCACAAGTGCTGCAGCTGCTTGATCAGCCGGGTATCATTCTTCCACCCTGGGTCCTTCAGGGGCTTGCCATCCTGGCGTCGGTTCAGTGGGGCTGCCTACCCACTCTATAATCCCACCTTCATCGCCAATTGTTAGATACGAGACTTGACGCAGCAGGTGAACAGTGATAACAGCTTTATTGAACACGTAGTCAGAAGAACAGAATGAGACAAATCAATGGAGCAACAGGCTCCTTTTTAAACAGTCCGGGCTTGGCAAGCCACGCCCACATGTCAGCTAAGGTCCAATCAGAAACTGTACTTTTCAGATTTCAAGCTCAGTACATTCATTCCACTCCATTACATACATAACACTTATTCAAGGGGAAAACAAGCTTCTGGCCATTGTGGTTGAGCAAGTGATTCACAGGGTGTAACAGTGCTGTCTTTCACAATGCCCTGCCACTTCCCACTACTCCACTTTTTAAGATGATTTGTGACATATCTATTAATGCAGCACAGGCACACCATTTGTTTCTTGGTGCATAGAGGAGGTTGTTTCTAAAAGAAACAATTTTGCGCAAGGTCACTGACCCACACAGAAATCTCAATTATCCACCTTTTTTGCATACCCCTTCAAATTTATTCACATGCATCTGGGCATATATGCACTGGAAGTTTTTCTTTTTTAGATAGATCTGAGTCTCCATCTTAAAAGGAATAAATCTGTCATATATGTAACGTGGAAATATCAGTCTGCAGATCTTAAAAAACAAACTCAAAACAAGAAGTGCAGCAAATAAAACAAACACCACAGTCTTGATCATCTTGCTATAAACTATGGTTTTCAGAACCCTACCAGAACAGATTTTACCTGCTTTCCAATATCTTGAGGTTGGTTGCCCACAGCCACTCTTGTAATCCCTGGTAGATCAATCAGAGTCAGATCTGGAACTTCTGGGGAGGTGATTTCTAAGCTGATTAGTTCATGGCTAATTTCCAATCCATTACCAGCTATTGCATTCTGGGCTACATAGGAGGGAGGAACATATAAATTAACCTATTAATTTAATAACTAAATCATAGATTGCAGGAAACATTTTGGACAATTCCTTCCAGTGGACCAAGAAATGAACTGTCTAGCATCTATATATCTAATAGCGAAAGGTGCCCCCTGCGTACGGATATCTAAATCCGCACATCAGGGGCACCTGGGGGGCAGGGATATTTTCCTGCACATTTGGGGTGATCCCAGATGTACACAAAAATCGGAAAAGTGTAAAAAAAATAAGGGGGATATTTAAATCCCCCAAAAAGTAACCAAGCGCCCCCTGCGCATACGCAGGGAACGCTCTTAAAACGGCTTCGCTACCGCCGTCACCAGAGAAGAGAAGGGGGGGAAGGCTTGGTCGGCTGGCAGCTGTAAGCCGCAAATCCCTCGCTGCCGCAGCCCAGGAGGGAAGGAGAAAGTTTGGCAAGCGAAGCTCCAGCCTCGCTGCCGCTGCTGGGGGGGGGAGAAAGCTTGGCGGGCCGAGTTCAGGCCTCACCGGGTGCTGGGGAGAGAGGAGGGAGAAGGCTTGGAGGGGCGCAGGCCTCGTCCTGGGTGCTGGGGACAGGGGGGGCAGGGGAGAAGGCTCACCTGCGGCTGCTTCCTTCTCCTCCCGTGGAGCTTCTCCTCCCCACGAGTATTGCGGGTCCCCCTTCTTGTCTATATATTAATAGCTAAGACGCCCCCTCTATGTGGATATCTAAATCTGCACATCAGGGGCACTTGGGGGGCAAAGAGATTTTCCTGCGTACTTGGGGCACTCCCCGGGTGTGTAGAAAAATCTGAAAAGTTTTAAAAACTATATGGGGAATACTTAAATCACCCCAAAAGTAACAAGTAAAAGAGCATTCCCTGCACATGCGCAGAGAACACTCTGGGAGCTCTGCAGCGGGCCTGGCAGCTGGAAGCCACTCAGGCCTTGCTGCCAGAGCCTGGGGAGGGACTTACTTGTGGCCGCTTCCTCCTCAGCCCTGGGGTCCTCCTGTGGAAAACCCCCCCCCCGCG